AGTTTTGCTCAATAGGTTGCTGAGATAAATGCAATGTCGCCACTGTTTATTTTGTATGTATGGCTTTGTGTATGTAATAATTGAAGTATTAATCATTACTATCAGATGACATTTTTCGTTATAGAATGCAGATTGCTTGTATTCAGGAAGTTGATCATGGTCACTTTATGGATATTGTAAAAAAGACTAAGTAAGGCAAGCCTTTTGACTATATGAATTGTGCATTTTTTTGTCGCTGATAAAACCTCGTAAGTGTTAAGAAGAATTTCAATCTCCTTAAACCAATAGTCGCTTGTAATATTATCGTTTAAATTTGTTTTGATGTATTTTTAGAGTAACGAAACAGGTTGAAAACATTGGAGAGAAGAAAGAAAGTGGCGAAGAGGTGGAAACCCAGAGAGAATTTAATACAGCTTTGTCGCTGGAGCTGAAACGGAATGAGTCTGTTATTGAGTCAGTTCTTTAGCAATTGAAAGGATGTTCCTTGTATCCTTAAAGAATAAATATGGTATTCTTCCTAATGTAACATTTAAATATACTGCTAAGCATTTCAAACGTCTTTCACTTTTAGTGCATGCGCATTGCCCAGTCCTTTTAAGTGAGTGTCATTTAATACTTTTAATACTTCTGAATTGGAATTATGAAAACCCATTGAATAGTAGTTTTTACAGAAACTGTATTGGTGGTATACTGTTTAGTAAAATTATGAATGCTATATGACTTTAACTTGTATTTATTGAACCGAGCGTTATCTTGCGTTTCAGATGGCCAAGCGATAGCCGTTAAACTTTCAAACAAATAACAGAGAACAAATGCCATTAAAACTACAATAGCCAAGTATAATGCATCACTAAAGTCTCTTGGAAGATTGGATTGAAGGACTACCTAGAAAAATTGAATTGACGAAGCAAAAGATCCAAGGTCGCAACTTTATTGTGATTTTAACTTCAAACAAATAAAGATACAGTACCGTTCACTGCAAAACGTTCTGCTATTGAGTTGCATAACTTTCTTTGAAAGATGCAAAGAGGAACAAGAGATGTTAGAAATGGAAACAGAAAGACTAGTACACTATTACTTTGATAAGAAACAAGAACTGGAGTCCTATATCAATGTTAATGGGGAAGTTCAGAGCAAAATCTTGAGAGGAACTGTAGCAAATTTTAAGAAAGATCTAATTAACATAAATAATGCACTGTATTCACTGAAACATATGTTAAATGACTATTTAACAGAAGCTAAGAGTAAATTACCATTCTTCAAGATAGAAGCAGAGCATGCATTATCTATTTTGCTCCAACAAACATAATTGAGGATACATTAGAGATTGAAACCAGTTCAGTTGATAACGACTGACTGTGAATCACTGCTTCAATTTTCAGATTTTGAATCAGACACCGAGTTAGAATAATTCCATATACACACGTATATATATATAATTATATTAATAGTGAACGCTTTCGCTTATATGCAAAGCTAAACTTTATAGGTTTGAGCGCTCTGGGGACTGTACAAAACAATCCATACAATGTGTAACCATACATCCTGTGTCCCAAGTGCATTCACCATTTTACTAGGGTGATAGCTGGAGGTCACATTGTTATACACTTTATGTATATGTATATATATATAGGAAGTTTATATTTCTTTACAACATGTTTTGATAATTATTTTTATAATAAAGAATTATGGTGCATCAGTTAAAAAATTCCTTTTTTCAGTGATAGAATTAAATTTATATTTTATATAATTATAATATGGATTACAATATTTCATTCTATTACCCTCTAATACATCTCCATAGTATTTATACAAATTATTTTTATAAATAATATATTTTTTTTCATTGAAATTCATTAGTTTCTTCAAATTTTAAGTCCAGAAGTATATCTAGCTCTTTGTTAGTAATTAGTTATTATCTGAATCATCATACTCCAATTCAAATATTATATATTTTGAAAATAGAATCAAAGGACCTTATATTTCATTATATGTATTGATTGTAAATTAAAATTAGCACTAGCATCTAGTTTAGATAATCCACCATTTAAATTAAAAAAAGTTTTTTATGTAATAATAAAAAAGATGAAATATTATTTGGTTTGCTATCGGAATTTCTTATACTGTTTGGTAAACAATTTTGCACATTAGTTACTTCACCAAGTTCTGGGATTTTGTACATTTCCACTTGTAAAATGAGTAAATTATATGGAAGTGCTGAAAAATATTTAATTTAATACTACTCCTTTTGAGGTTTTTGGTTTTAAACTCTATTCGATATAAAATATTATTTTTATTAATTTTGTTAAATTAAATGGATATAATATATCCATCTGTGGAATAAAAATTTCGAGATAAAGTATCAGTATGTTGCAGTAATTTAATAGGTCAATTTAATTTCATTTTTAAATCAATTTGACATTCCAACGTTATATTTATAGAATCAAATGGTATAATTGCCTTGATGATGCAATACTTTTATAGTTAAATTTTTAATAATTGAAGAAATTAATTGTTTTTATAATTGAGGATTGTACACAAATAAATTGTCTCCACTTTCATTTGCATAATGTAAAGGAACAATACATAACAATTCCTTTTGAATTACCAACAATTTCTATCAATTTTGTCACGATATATAAACATTTTATTGATTCCAACTGTCTCATCAGGAAGATATGGACAATGAAATAATTTTATTTTTTTCAAATTCACGTTTCTTACAATCAAATCCAGAGTCAAATGTATATTTTATTACTTTGTCTAACCCCAACATAAAACTTAATTTTTTGAAAATTTAATTTAAATTCAATTGTATCATTTCCTGAAGCATAATCAGTATATTATATTTTGCTTATTATAGGTTTTATCCATATATAATTTTAAAATCATATTTTTACCCTGATTAGAATAAGATTCTTTCCCTTGAACATAGTAACAAATATATCCATTTGTTAAAATTATATTTTTACTATTTCTATTCTTAAAAATATTATAATCATTTAAATAATCATTCAAAAGCGATATAATTTTTATTGTTATATATTCCCAATGGTATTTTAATTCTTGGTAAATTAAACTTTAAAATTGATATAAACTTATATCAATATTTTTAGTTGTGACATCCGTTTGAATAAAAGATTTCGAAAATTTTAATTCTAAATCACACCAGAATTCATCTACATTAATGTTTTTGCTGTTTTTGGATAAAAAACGTTTAACACTGTTATGTATTTTTTATTATTTAATGCATCAATTTGAGCAGGTAATGTTGTAGCAAAATGATTAATATAGTTTTTATAACAATTTTTATTATTGACTTTACAAATTAATGTAATATTTTTCATTTTGAAACCTTTTTTAATTCTTCACAATAAAATTTCCCTTGAATTTCTTCACCGTTGATATCACAAAGCTTATAAGTAACAAGATCCGTCAAAAACTTTATTTATATAAAAGTCTCATTAACCCACTGTCTTAAACTTTCCTTTTCAAAATATTATTTTTAATTCTTGAAATTTGCACTTTATCATTTTTCTTTAATATACTTAAATTTTTATCTCTTTTTGTTCATAATATTAGATAATCTTTTGATGTAATTTTTTTCCCAAATAAATAAACATCATATGGTGAAAGATTGTCAGAAAGTAATCCACGATAAGGATTTTCGTTATATCTTTCCACAATTAAATGTAAGTATTTTCATAAGTAAATTTTTTCCTTTTCTTGTTTGCAACAAGTCAATAGTTTTCCAGTCATCTGTTTTATTGTTTGTATAAATCTATCAGCATGAGTAGCTTTAATTTCACGATTATAAATATTATAATTTGTAAAATTATATTTTTTGACAATTCTTTTCGAAACCCTTGAAATTCAGTTCCTCGTGTGATACTATTTCTTTAGGAAATTCATTTTCTTTCAATACAATATCTTCAAATTTTTCCATAACATTTTTACTAGATTTATTTTGCAATAACTGAACAAAACCATATCTTGAATAAACATCAACTACACATAACAAATAACACAAATTATCATTATATCTTGCCAAATCTTTCATTTCAGCTAAATCAATATTCCATAAATAAATTTTGTTCATACATTTATATTTAAAAATTTATATTTTTTTGATACAAATTATGTATATTTTGTTTATTATCTTTAAATGTTCACCTTTTAATAATCTTGCAGCTCTATAAAGTCATTGTTAATTAAATTATTATTTCTTCTTTCTGTTCTCCCATCACCATCATTCAGAAACGTTGATGATGAAATCAAGCTTTGAAAAAATATATCATTATATGTTCTTTCAATTTTATCATTGCCATATTTTTATAAAATTCTACAAAATCATATTTCTTTCCAATTTTTCCTCTAAAATTTCATTCATAAATTCAATTATAACCAATGCAATCATGTATTGAATATCCAATTTATTAGAAAACTCTTTCAATACATTAATAGCTTAAATGTCATTACTATTTTCAATATCTTTTGTCTTTTTTACTTGGTACAGTTTTGGCATTTCTTTTTTACTTTTCTCTTTTAGCTTCCTCCTTTGATTTTTTCTTCTTCACTTTTAATAAATCACGACAAAATCCAACAAATTGTCGAAATTTTTGTGATATAGTTTTAAATCGTCATCTTTTCTGAAATATATTTTGTAAAATCATCCGTCCAATCAATCATTGCAATATCATTTAGATCAGTGGGTTTGAAACAATCATCTCATCATCATCACATATAACATAAACAGTTACATTTTCATCCACAACATGGTATGATTTTTGTGTTTTTAAACTTAATTTATTATCTGAATCACGTTCAAAGATAACACGTTTCTCATTAGATGAAAACAAAACTTCATATAAAATTTCCTTTTAATCTTTATTTGCAATCTTATTCAACACATTTACCAATTTTTCACATGTTTGCAAATTGATTTGCAGCTCATCATTACAGCACATTCCATCGTTGTATGGAGAGTAAACAGATTTTGAAAAAAAAACACAGATTACTAAAGCGATTAATAACTGCATATTTTATTTAAAATGATTGCTTTTCCATTAGAATAACTTTGTAAAACTGTTACCAAATCTCTAAAACTTTTTTTTAAATGGTATACTCTAGTATAAGGGGTAATGGGTTAACAATTGACAATGTCTATATTTTTAGTTATTCCTTTAACCTGCAATGTTTTACCCATTTTCTGACAAATGCCACATGACTTTACTTATCATTGGGGTAGCTACGAAGCTTTATTAAACAATCCACAAATAAAATTGGCAAAGAACGAAAATGGGCTTAATTCATTGATTCAAAATTAGAGATTTTGAGACTTTTGTGAGCCTCAAAACTTTGAGTATTCCAGGAAATTTCTTAAGTATTTTGGTTTGGTATCTGAATGTCATGCAAAATCACAAGTTGGCATAAATGCAATGAGCAAAGGCAATATATAGTGGAGACAATAGACGTGGTGTTGAAATAGCGTGAGAAAACAACAAAACGTAAACAAGAACATTTGGAAATTTTTACTCGTTTCCGATAGTTATTTCTTAACATTCAAACTACACTTCTGTATAATATAAGAATACGAATACTTTAGGTGCATACAATTATTGGTAACAACATGAACATGCTATACAAAAAAGTTTAACACACTACAGGAAATCCTGTTTAGCAAGGCATTCCAGAACAGACGTGTGAAACCGAAAGGTATGCTTATTTGGGATGTAAAATTTTGGTTTTTAACCCTAAAGTTCCTAATCTTTGTCCTGGTAACAGATTAGGTTTAATCCAATGTTTGTTTTCTGGGTTTTAATGAGTTTATAAGTTAGCTCTGAGCTGTCTTGTCTAACCAATATCCCAAATCTTATCTTCAGTAGACAATGATTCAATGCCTTCAGCTGCACCAGGATAATAGAAGAGCCAATGTTCATCAGAGTCAGTATAAAACGGAAGAATGTATCCTTCGTGTGTTCGACTGCTTTTACAGTTGGCAATAAGAGTCAAAGGCATCAGGTTTGAAAAAATTTTTAAGTTTCAGTCAACAAATCGAGCTCTGACTTTGTCAATCTACATCAGTTACCACCAAATCGCATTCTTCAATCAGCTTGTTACGTATCAAGCACATTGATACTTTGGCTTCTTCAAAACAACTTTTCAACACAGATCGGTAACATTCTCTCTTTGATCAGAATATTTACGATTCTCTGTCAAAACTTTTTCTACTTATGTGATTCGATTATTTTGAAATGAATATTCTGCATTTTTCATAATGTTGGAAATCTGTTTAATACCATACTGACTGGTTTTTAAATGTAATACCTTCTGGCAAACCAGTAACAGTAAATCCTCCTTTAAATAAGGTACTCACATTTTCCCACAAGCTTCACCTTCGAAGAAAATTACAATGATGGGTATATAAATGTAGCTAGCAACAATCAATGACAATAACAAAAAGTCCCGCGCATATTTATGGGGGGAGAGATTTTAACACGTACAAAACTATGAGGACAGACACAATAAATGATATTTCCTAAATATGTAAACTGTAATGCACATTGTTCATTTTTTACGAAACAGCATTCTTTCCCATGATTTGATTTGAATAAGTTTGGAAATGTTTCACAATGGTGCAAAACATTCATGCTGACTTATAATAACTTGATTGTCAAAAAGGAATTGTGTATAAAATGGACTAAAAATATCAACCATGACACAAGCTCAGAAAATGGAAAATCATTTCAAATGCAATTTGCACTTACTGTATTTCTGGTTGAATAGTTTTATCACATCACACACCCGGTACTTTCTGACAACCTGTTTTGAGAATCTATTTAATAAAACATTGATAAAGAAATAACGCCCGTGTAAAATGCATGGAAAGGGAGGGAGGATTATTATATCCAGCTGAGCTCAAGTGATTACTTTTGAAAGCAATTTACTTTCAAAAGAACCAAGGGCACAACTGAATAAACATTCTTGGAACAGCACTAATGCTTGAGAAATAATGCACTGGTATTCCAAGACCCACAAGTTTCTGAAAATAACTGTGTAGGTACAGCACTTACCCAAATACTCAACGAATTGACACCAATTTTTTCATTTCTATTCAAAAGTTGATTCCTTTCTGTTCCAAACTGTTGAAGACAAGAATCACCAGGCTCCAAGAATAAAACAACTGCTTCACAACCAAGACTTTCTAAGTAAGTAAGCTAGCAAAGAGAAATTTAATTGAATTTACACAGCATAAGTTTCAGCAATTTTTCTCTAAGTAAACAAAGTATAAAATCAACACATCTACAATGTGTTAGATTAAACACTTATCATAATTGCTTTGGCCTTATTTTATGATACGTATACTATTATTTTTGTGGGGAAATTAGAGCCCTCGTACACCCTAATCTATCTAAAGCTATGGGGATTGCAAAAATTTCTTACAAAATACTCCCCCTTCACATCCATGACACTGGTCTATCAATGCTAATATTTTTCACAGTAAAATTGCAAACGTTACAAAATGCTAACTTTGTGGATCTGTAACCCAGTAGACTTGGCTAAATTTCAGCATTTATTTGCTACTTCTAACAATTCATAACAACTTTTACAAATTTTTTTGTAGTAGAAGTTTTCTTTAGGTAAATTGTCTTTCCTTTAGAATGGATTGAAATTTACAAACCATCACGTTATGTTTATAGAGATGCTCAACTAAATCTACGCACAAACAATCAAAGTAAAAATCATTCTTTATATCATAATACTGTACATATGTACAGTGGTAATAACAGCTGTACCTGTGACAAAAGCTGCTTTTTCCCTTTTTTCACTTGGTTTGTGCGCTGCTTAACTGTCAGGTCATGAATGTCATTGCTTTGAACAGCCTTTGCTCTTTCTGCCCAAATCACACGTTCCTCTGCCCCTAACAAGTTCCAGTGGTCTACAGCTAACTTCAACCTCTCAGAATTAGAGCTCAGCTGCTTGCATTCCTCTAAAATTACAAAATGCATATTTACAAAAGGCATATAACAACAGAAAGAAACAAAGTACTTTTTGGTTTAAATGACGACTGCACAGGTTTTGTCTTAGCACTTTTGTGTGAATAAAGATGATACATATTGTACAGGCCATAAAAACATACAGTTTATAGATCAGAACCTGAGTTCAGCATATGCAGCAAAAAGATTATATGCTGTAGTTCTACGCTTTGAAGGGCACAGTCTTAACTCCTCATCTTGATGAAAGCTGGCTTTCCTGGACTGCTTTTCATTCCCAATCCATTTCTAGAAGAAATAAAAATAAAAACTTTTTCTTTTTCTTGTAGCTAACCTGGTTAACCAAGGTTATTTACTACATGGTGTATGAACAAATAGAGTACTAACATGCAGCCTTCAAGTTATTTGAAGAATAGGATATGCTAACTTAGTCTAAACAGCAAAAAATTATTATGTTAAAAAATATAAATGCTTCTTTGCAAACCAAACAATCAAACAATTTCATTTGAAAATTCTGCAATAAGCATGAGCTTATTTTACCAGTAACAGAATTCATTAAGTATGTAACTACTTAACCACCATCTATATGAAACTTTCTCAAATTATTCGTAAATTAGAGAGCCAAAAAAGTAAAAATGTGACTTATTCCTAAACAAGATAAAAATTTTAGGGACTATTAACCTAATTAATAAGAAAATTTGTTAAGGTATATTAATTTAGGTTTTGCCTTGATCACCTTCAATGGTATGCAACTCAATGCAATTAAACCTTCAAAGCAATTATATACTATAATGGGGTGACTAGCAGAGAGTAGAAATTAGAAAACATCTCTAGCATTTACAATTTAAGGTAGATTCAACATTATTGAGTCTCCATAAACTGCAACGATTCTGTCATTTGCAAACTTTCAAAACATGCAATGAATACAGCATAGTCTGCTCAGTTATTTATTCATGCAATGTAAAATTTCACTTGCTGTGAAAACTATGGATTTCTAAAACAATTAATTAATGGTAATATTCTCAAATTTACCTACATTTCAGGATTATTATTTGCAAAATGATAAGGTCCCTGTTTGTTATAGCATGAATCCCAGGCAAGTCTTTCATGGAAAAGGAAACACCAGTGGGCATTAAAATGTGTTATAGAGAAAATGCGCATTTAATAATTTAATTTTTGGAAAACCATTGTCGAGGGAAAATCGAGGGAAAACCATAGGTTTTCTGATTATAAGATTTTGATAATGTTACAGAATGCCTGCCCTTAAGTTTCAACAAACTCAGAATACTACTAAAAATTTGTGATCAACAGTCTTGAAGGCATACTCAAAAATAGAAAATTACCAAGTTTTCCCACCCTTTAAGATGTACTACCTGTGGCACTCTATACTATATGATATGAATATTATGAAATGAGTATATGTATGTAAATACTATAATCTTATTACTTTATAAATTAGAAATTGCATTATTGAAGAAAACTACAGTTCGATTTAATGCAAAAGATATAGTAACCAGTGGTACATACATATTACATCTGACAACAGAGAAAGATAAAAAGCTCGAGAGGGTTGAATACAAATAAAAACAAGCTTGTCTTTTATAGTACATAGTAAAAACAAGTGTGAGTATAAAAATATAATAATTATACGCTTAATAGGCCAAGTTAAAATTTTAACAGTAGAATAAATTTTACAAACATCGTCAGCAAACGTCGCAATTTTCAATTGTCAAGCAATACTAAATATAAACACACTGGTATTGTGGTACAGTCAAAAATAAACCATGCTCTCCCCAATAAAGGGAAAATCCTATATCTGTTTTATATCTCTGACATCTTGTAAACTGTCTATTATATAAGTTAAGGGTATAATTAGAAGATATAAAATGCACACTATATTTAATGTCAGTTACAGCAACAATAACTAAACCCATCAGATCAAAATACTGGCGAAGATCACTGTTGCTAATGAAAAGAAAGCGCGGGTAAAAATATAAACTCGTGCATTCTGTTTACCTTGACTCTTTCAAACGTGATATTAGCTTGGTTCGCAGCTTCTTCAATGACATCCCTCATACTAGCTGCTGTTGAAATCATTCCTCGATCATAATAATCCTTCAAGATCTTTTGTTCGTCATTTAAAATATCATAAGAAGCTGAACGTCGAACGTTTTCCGCCATAGCCAGATCAAAGAACAGGAAAATAAAGATGACTAAATAAAGTATTTCATAAATTCGTGAACCCATACATCAGAATGCGCGGAATACATTTTATTGACGCTTCGTAACGCATTTCTAAAAATTAGAACTAACGCTTTAAGCGTTTTAGAATTGGTGAAACGGGTGTAATATATTGAATATATAAATGTTACATAGAAATGATGTTGCAAAGACTAGAATACGTTGAGTTTTATTTTACGTAATCCAATCATTTCTAATATGAATTGATTACGTAAAGTAAAAACTCTAACGGCTAACGTTAATTTTGGACTACTCGTGTCCGTTCATTTTCCCAACATGAAGTAACTCATCCGCCGTGCTAAGAATTTTGGGAAGATTTTGAATTAATGCTGGAAACGCGTCTAGCCTCTCTTTGATGCTTTCTTCGCTGTAAAAATCGAGAAAAAACTATTAAAAACTTTTCAAACTTGCTCAAACTCTTCACTAAACAGCGCTCAACATTTTCATTGTTCCACACTCAACAAAACGTACCTCAACATTTTCATTGTTCCACACTCACCAAAACGTACTCAATATTTTCATTTTGTTCCACACCAACAAAACGTACCCTCAACATTTTCATTGTTCAACACTCAACAAAACGTACCTCAACATTTTCATTGTTCAACACTCACCAAAAAATTCCTCAACATTTTCATTGTTCCACACTCACCAAAACGTACCTCAACATTTTCATTGTTCCACACTCACCAAAACGTACCTCAACATTTTCATTGTTCCACACTCACCAAAACGTACCTGAACATTTTCATTGTTCCACACTCAACAAAACGTACCTCAACATTTTCATTGTTCCACACTCACCAAAACGTACCTCAACATTTTCATTGTTCACTCACCAAAACGTACCTCAACATTTTCATTGTTCCACACTCACCAAAACGTACCTCAACATTTCATTGTTCCACATCACCAAACGTACCCCTCAACATTTTCATTGTTCCACACTCATCAAAACGTACCTCAACATTTCATTGTTCCACACTCACCAAAACGTACCTCAACATTTTCATTGTTCCACACTCACCAAAACGTGTACCAACATTTTCTATTGTTCCACACTCACCAAAACGTACCCTCAACATTTCATTGTTCCACACTACCAAAACGTACCTGAACATTTTATTGTTCCACACTAACAAAATGTACTCAACATTTTCATTGTTCCACACTCACCAAAACGTACCTCAACATTTCTCATTGTTCCACACTCACCAAAATGTACCTCAACATTTCATTGTTCCACACTCACCAAAACGTACCTCAACATTTTCATTGTTCCACACTCACCAAACGTACCTCAACATTTTCATTGTTCCACACTCATCAAAACGTACCTCAACATTTTCATTGTTCCACACTCACCAAAACAAAATTCCTCAACATTTTCATTGTTCCACACTACCAAAACGTACCTCAACATTTATATTGTTCCACAATCAACAAACGTACCTCAACATTTTCATTGTTCCACACACACCAAAACGTACCCCAACATTTTCATTGTTCCACACTCAACAAACGTACTCAACATTTTCATTGTTCCACACCACCAAAACGTACCCTCAACATTTTCATTGTTCCACACTCCACCAAAACGTACTCAACATTTTCATTGTTCCACACTCAACAAAACGTACCTCAACATTTTCATTGTTCCACACTCACCAAAACGTACTCAACATTTTCATTGTTCAACACTCATCAAAATCGTACTCAACATTTTCATTGTTCCACACTCACCAAAACGTACCTCGACATTTTCACGTTCCACACTCACCAAAACGTACCTCAACATTTTCATTGTTCCACACTCAACAAACGTACCTCAACATTTTCATTGTTCCACACTCAACAAAACGTACTCCTCAACATTTTCATTGTTCCACACTCACCAAAACGTACCTCAACATTTCATTGTTCCACACTCACCAAAACGTACCTCAACATTTTCATTGTTCCACACTCACCAAAAACGTACCAACATTTTCATTGTTCCACTCAACAAAACGTACCCTCAACATTTTCATTGTTCCACACTCACCAAAACGTACCCCTACAAAACGTACCTCAGTCATTTTCATTGTTCCACACTCAACAAAACGTAAATTTCAACATTTTCATTGTCCCACACTCATCAAAACGTACCCTAACATTTCATTGTTCCACCTATCAAAACGTACTCAACATTTCATTGAAATCCACACTCACCAAAACGTAATCCCTCAACATTTTCTTGTTCCTACACTCAACAAAACGTACTTCAATATTTTCATTGTTCCACACTCACCAAAACGTACCTCAACATTTTCATTGTTCCATACCAACAAAACGCACCTCAACATTTTCATTGTCCCACACTCATCAAATGCACCTCAACATTTTCATTGTTCCACACTCATCAAAACGTACCTCAACATTTTCATTGTTCCACACTCAACAAACGTACCTCAACATTTTCATTGTTCCACACTCAACAAACGTAATTTCAACATTTTCATTGTTCCACACTCACCAAAACGTACCTCAACATTTTCATTGTTCCACACTCAACAAAACGTAAAACCTCAACATTTTCATTGTTCAACACCTACCAAAACGTACCCTCAACATTTTCATTGTTCCACATCAACAAACGTAAATTTCAACATTTTCATTGTTCCACTCACCAAAACGTATCCTCAACATTTTCATTGTTCCACACTCAACAAACGTACCTCAACATTTTCATTGTTCCACACTCACCAAAACGTACCTCAACATTTCATTGTTCCACACACTCAACAAAACGCACCTCAACATTTTCATTGTCCCACACTCCATCAAAACGTACCTCAACATTTCATTGTCCCACACTCATCAAACGTACCTCAACATTTTCATTGTTCCACACTCACCAAAACGTACCTCAATATTTTCATTTGTTCCACACTCA